TCGGGTAGGACAGATGTTCGCTGTGATGTCTATGATATAATTTAAGTTGATGACATTGGCTCTTCTCTTTCTATTTATGAAAATATTTCACAACAGTGTGCTAATTTTTCTATTACTCTCGCAAGCGCTCGGTAATGTCTGCCTCGATAGCTCAGTTGGGAGAGCGTTAGACTGAAGATCTAAAGGTCACCAGTTCGATCCTGGTTCGGGGCAATGGTTTGCAACTTAGAGCTTTTGTCCTGCAATGTATGAAGATCTTCAGATGAAGTGTTTTCTTCACTCTATTATAATTTCACAGAAATTAAAGCATTTAATAGAACCTGGAATTCGAGTGAACTAAATTTGAGACTACATTATATTATGTTAGATCATTATAGGACGGTAAAACTTATCTGAAAAACTTCTAAGTAGTAAAAAGGTTCAATTTTGATGAAGCTCCTTTAAAGAGACATCTTTGGAAATAATTAAACTGTACATTTCCGAACAAATTGGTAATTTTAATATTCTGCCTTTTTGAACAGGAATATGGCTTAGAATCGTTTAGTGTTTCTGCATTTTTCAGGTTTGGTCTCGGTCAAAGGTATTGATCGATTATAAAAAGAAAATTTGCAACCAAATTTGCTCATATTCAGCCATTCAAGTTTTTACATAAAATTAATTAAAAGGTCTGTAACATTTAGAAAAGCCGTTGACTCTGTTGATCGCAGCAAAGTTAGCCGTCATATCAAACCGAAAGACTATGTGGCTTGGAATCAATTCAGCGATTTTCTGGACAGGTAATCTCTAGTTACTGAACTGCTAGGGTTCTCATTGTACTATATTCAAGGCATGAGAAGGTGTACGATAGCAAACGTGATACACTCAAACGATTCCGCATCTTTAAGAGGAATTTAAAGGTGAATTTGAGAAAAAAGTTTTTTGATTATATGATGAAAGCACAAGTAGACAAAGAAATCTGATAATTATTTTGAATTTCTAACTTTTTTTTTGAAAATGGAGACAGTTGATTCAACAAAAATCAACAACATTTACTATCCAATCTTTCAATCATCCAAAGTATCTTTTTTTTGAGATAATATACATTATAGGAACATGTAAACGACTTGTGCTTACAGTAATCTTTTTCTATATGGAACTTTTAGTATATCATAAAGCTCAGTAAAAGATTTTAGGCTATTCGCATGTGGCAAGAGAGGGACGACGGAACTGCAGTCTATGGAATCACACAGTTCTCTGATTTGACTCCTGAAGAATTCAAGAAGGTAACTATCTCTTAGCGCTAAACCTTTAGAATAGGGTTGCTACCTCGCGTATCATCCAGATTTATCTGCCTTACACTTGGGAAGAACCAATCTACCCGAATAAAATCGCTGATCTTGAAGCTGAGGGTATCAATGTGAAC